CGTCGCATACGGCGCAATCGTGACGTAGTTTGTATCGGGATGAGCAAAGCTGCGGCGAGGCTGACGTCGTCAGGACTCAGGATGCCCTAGCCGTTCCAGCTACCGAGGCGGTCGAAGCACGCCAGCGATAGCTGGCGTGCAACTAATGCAACTAACTAGCAACTAACCGCAAAGCTGCTATTGTGTGAATTTTAAGTGACGGGTTAATCTTCTATAGTCTTCTGGAGGGAGAATACTGGCGCCTGGGACACACAAAAGAGAGTCCCGTTGAGTGGGGAGTTTCTCCCTCCCCTTGTCTTGTGCTGGCCTTCAAGCTGTCGGGATGACATCAGGTTCAAAGCATGTATAGTTCTAGGCGAGACTCTTACCGTCACTACCTGTCAAGGTTCCTAGACGGGCATTACAAACGAGGCGTTGAGACATCCACCAGGTTCTCTTTGCTAATCGTTTAATTTGTTTTAAAATTCCTTTTCGTGTCTTTTTTAACAAGATATTGGTGTGCCCGGTGTGATACTGATCCTCTGAACACGTATAGACCCAAAAATAAGCGCAGGAATTTCGTTGTAGTATCCCTTTGAGAGAAAAACGACAAGAAACCTTCACTGAAATTGAGCTTGCTTGTCTTTATTATTGGGGCTTTGTAGCGAGACATCGACTCGAAAGAGACATTTCCTAGAGCCGACAAAGGCTTTACAGCGGTGCTGCTCTAGCGCGGAGTGTTAAACGGTATGGCGTCCCTAGTTTAGCTTTTGTGTTTGTGTTTCCTCACGTTGCCTCCCCCCCCCCTTTTTTTTCTAAATACGTTTTTTTTTTATATTGAGTGTATTTTACGGAGTGCCGTAAAAGGCTGCGCATGTGTTAGAGAAAAACGCGAATTAGTGTTAGAGAAAAACAACTCAAACATTTTTCAAGCTCTGCTTGGCCTTTAGCACTCAATGTACGCTGTCTTCGTTATGTTTTATTCCTTGTTACGTGTATATTGGTGCAACAATGAGCGCGTTTCTCTGCGTTACATTTTCGCAGGGCTGGTTTCATGTTGTTCTATGCCTTGCTGCAGGCTGCGAGTGCTTTTACTTAATGTTCTGTGACGCCCTTTGTTTTTCTTCTTTTTGCCCCTCCCCCACTATAATGCCTTCACGGGCGCTGTGGTGTACATGTAATAAATGTAATAAATAATAAATGTCTTATATGTCTATAATGTAGGGGGATTTAATGACTTTTTAAATAATGCCCACCATATTTGTAATTTAAACGATACCCTTACATTCATTAAATATAGAGTTAACTACTAAAAGTAATTATTAACCTGATTGTATCAAACATATTTTTTTCCTAAATTTAGCCTTTGTCAAGAACAAATATTACGTCAAAACCCTTTTCCTGTGCGATGCTAACTTTTCACAGGAAATGATTTAGCTTACGTTTTGGTGAAAGTTGAAACACCCTCTCCCAGGGACATGGCGTTCATATAGTATACATTTTACAGAAGTATACAAAATATGACCCTGACCATCACTGTATCAGCTGACATGAAAACACCCAACAACAAAACCCCTGTGGTCATCAAGTTCTATTTGTATTCCATGGATAGTTAGAAAAGGTAATAGCGGGTTCGTTGGCCGTCACGCATTGTTGAGCACCAAGACACGACGTGCAATTTTCTTTTATTTAGAGAAATGGAGCTGCGTTTCCACATTAATAACAGAGCTACAATAATGGAGCATATGTTTTCTTATATACTCGTAACATGCATTTAGAGATGATAATTTTGCTATAAGTTGCGTCGTTACACATGAAGTAGTTCGTTCGTAAATGATTTCGAAATGTGTCTCCAAAACGTGTTTCTTCGACGTGTTTTGTGATTTTTTTTATTTGTATATTTTTAATTTTTAATATTTTGTGTACATGTTGTAAACCTTTCATTAAATAAGTAGAAAAATTATAGCTACCTGCATGCTCGGTGCGAAATTGACGAATGTGCAAAGTACCATGGCGAAACCTTGGTAATTTCGAAACCTTGGTTATGCCTCGAGCTTCGAAATTTTATATCTCCGGAAGAAAATTAGCTACGGCGCTCGCATAGAGCCCGGGGACATGGCTTATTGTTTACATAAATATAAAAAATAGGACCCGGACCATTATTGCACGATATGACGTGGAAACACCCTATGTCACCTGCTTTGGCAAATGAAATGTGCCAGAGTTGTCTAATGCCTATTTGTACGCTTCGATCATAGAAAAGAGTTTCCTTCTGTTATTTCATCTTTAGCAGGGCAAAATATTCCTTAAATATGTCCGCGCTACACGTTCTCTAAACACCATATGTGGAGTAAATTATAGTATCGTGCTATGTAAGACTAATTTCTAGGGTATTATTTCAAATGATTTCGATCCCCTTGGCACAGGCCTAAATTTTATCACCTACATAGACAAAAAAAAGTCACATTATTAGATTTTCTTTTTTGTCACTGATTCAATATATTTTTAGATCTTGTTTCAATGCGGGTGAAACGGTTTTTTTTTTTTTTTCACACATTCGTGGAAATAAAAATAATTGTACACCTATCTGTGATTTTGGTGTAAAAGTTGACACCCTAGCCTAGAGACTAGCGCCTGAAGCACCCCCCCCCCCCCCTTTTTTTGCCTCCTTTTTTTTTTCCTTTTTTTATTTTCACCGGCACGAAGTCCATTTTATATTTATAACAAATGCGACCCTTTTGGCCAACCATGCTAAGCTGCCTGTTAGTGCGACATTCCGCTTTTCGGACGTACTATATTACCTTTTTAAAACTGAAAGAATAAAACGGGTTTCAATGAGACAAAGGCGTGTGTGTAACTGAACTAAATAAATTGTATCCGCTTTAAAACCACACATGAGATTTCTTAGTTCAAAGTTTTTGTCAATTGCCCTTCCCTCCCCCCCCCCCCCCCCCCTCCCCCCTCCGGCGACACTCGCGTTCCCTCGTGCTTTTCGCCAATACTTCTAGTGCCAACCGCCAGGATCGTGACATCCGAGAGCACGCGACACTCCGGTTTTTCTGACGTCATTTACGGGTAGGATAGGACGCAAAACACGAGAGTCGAAGACGCGTTCCTGGCACCATAGTGCAGTTCACTGTACGCGTGATAAAAGTCACAGACGATTCGTGTTTCGGGAAAATATAACGCACACTATGCAAAGCGGAAATTCGTGTGCTTTTCTTCTTTTTTTTTTTTTGCGAGGATTATGGTCACGTTAGAACGCCGAACTCTGATTGGCTCTGATGGAAGGATAGTGGGTTGACCTTAAAGCAAGGTACCTTGAGGTCTACCCACTATCCGTCAATCAGAGCGAATCAGAGCTCGTCGTTCTGACGTCACCACAACACCAGCAAAAGAAGCAGACGAACCTGCGCTCCGCATTGGCTAGTTCGATTTACCTGCACCATCCGCGCCGGGGCAGAAAAGTGTAGGGCGGTCTACTTCCGGTCGTTCCTCACTGCCTTGCAGTTTTCTGCAACGGTGCAGGAGGTGCTGGTAAATCGAACGAGCATTCGCGGAGCGCAAGTTCGTCTACTTCTGGCACAGGGGTTGCGATGATGTCGAGACGCCGAGCTCTTACTGGCTAATTAAAAAAAAATACAATATATATATATATATATATATATATATATATATATATATATATATATATATATATATATATATATATATATACTATCCTTTCAATCAAAGCCAATCAGGACTCCGCGTCGTTCTGACGTCACGGCAACTCCTGCGTCGGAAGCAGACGACTTGGTCTTTGTATTATAGCGCCCAAACCTGACCCCAAAATAAAAATTAAAAAAAGACAAAAAAACTTACACTATAGTTTCTGACTGAATGAGAGTGGCAGAACGTGTCTCTCGAACGCCCGCCCTCCCGCACGTGCCCCATGCCTTCCGCCGTGCTTTGGCTGAGCGCGCGCGCTCAATGTGCACGAGACGACGAGGAGTTGTCGAATGGTAGGAAACTCGCGCTGGGAGCTGAACAACTGAAGCTCCTCCCTGCCGTTGTCACACTGCCAGTGAACAATATTATCTCAGTTTCTTCCACTGGAAGATCAAACGGCTGCGACACGCAGAGAAAGTGAAAGCAAAACTCGCGCACCAATGAAGTTGGGAAACAGAAACTGAAAAGACTCACGGTAGTTTCGCGTGTAAACGGCCAAAAATGACACTGATACAATCAAGCCGTACAATGAACCTTCGCGTGCAAATATGTATTAATTAGTGCCACTAAATAAGCTACGCTTCAGAGTAACGACACTTGGCCATATTGTGTCTTAAAATCATGGTTGCCAGTTATCTGAAGCATTATCTGAAATCACAGGAAACGCTTTTCTGTCTTTCACAAATTTTTAGACAGTTCGCAGCAGAGCAAAGCAATGTTACATGACCTTCCTAACACCGAATCTAATGCTGGGGAAGTCGCACTTTCGAATGATGACGATGGGCAGTTGTGTCTGCTCTGCATACGAGTCAAAATGGCGGCGCCCACAACAATGTAGGGGAACGGAGTGCCGATACTCTAAGCGCAGCTTATTTAGTGGCTCTAGTATTAATATGTCGCATTTGAACTTCAACAAATACATAAAACCGCCCTTGCATAAAACACTTTCCCGCCACAAAAAGAAGAAAAAGAAAAATATACAAATCGTTTTACTTGTCTGACAACCCTGGGCCTTTCGTCGAATTTAGCCGAATTTGTAGAACAATCGACAAAAGTTCGGCCAGTTTCGCTTTGATAACTTTCGTGATTGGCGCGATTGGCGGCGCGCCGGATTCGAGGTTAGGGAAAGAAGAAGACGCGCAACGCAGCACGTTTTGTTAGTCCTAGCGGGTAGTTCAAACGTCAACCGATTCGCAACGAACGAACGAAAGTAGTTTTGAGACGCGCACATAGCTGAGAGTCCGCGCGAAGAACGTCCAGGCTACGGAATCGAGAGACGACGCCACCCGAGCGTTGGGGAAGTACCAACGATGCCCGACGTCTTCCTCAAGGCCGACATGAGGGAGCTGTTGGCCAACAAAAAGGTCGCTCTGCTCGGCTGTTCGAGTGAGTCGGGGTTTTCGGGTTTAGGTTCGAGGCATGTTGTTCCCAATTGTGGGCTTTATCTGAGAGCTCTTGGAATTTTCTCTCGGCAGACGTGCGGGCCATGTACAAGGACCTGGTATGCCTGTGGCAGGTGGACCAGCTGGTGTCTAACAAGCGTCTCCGCTGCAAGGTAGGTACCGTGCCAGGGGGTACGTCCATATCATCCATATCACATGAGCGAATGACATTGGAGCGAACAGCGACATTTGAGCGAATCTACGCTTTAGCGAATAACGGGGGCGCGCGTTAACCCATCCGCCGCGCTGCGCTTGCCGCTTCGCGGCAACAGTCTGCGGCGGCGCATTACAAAAATTTGAACCCATTTGGCCCACCCGAAAACGCCGCTTCGCGACGTCCGACTATTCTCTAAAGTGTCATTCGATGAAACGTGGGCGTTCGCTAAAACGTCATTCGATCAAGTGAGTGCCTGTACCGCCTTGCACGACGAACCATCAATCATCGCCTGCAGTTGCGTCCAATTCGTTGAACGATGTGTTTCGTCGGCAGTTTGTTTAATCAAAAGGCTCCCGCGTTCGTATAACGCATTAAAAAAATAAAACAAAAAAAAAACGGGCGGGGGGGAGGTAAGAAGGAGAAGAAGAAAGGTTGCTTGTATGTTTATACAGCCTTCATATTAACACGCTTCAGCAGGTGACCTGTCTTATAGCTGAAGATGAGAAATTAAGCTAGTGCAGTACAACCGCTAACCTAGGGTTTTTAGTGTGCATCACGCAGTAGCGGTACGAAACTCATCCACCCCGAAATGGGCAAGCAGTGGGGATCGAACCCAGGAGGTTCTGCAGCGCAAGCAATCGCGCGCGGTGTGCGCATTTAAACACCTCCACCAACCCCCGGAATCTTTCTATTCGTGTCTCCAGCTCGTTGCTCACCCTCCCGCGGCGAAAACGGGAAGCACTCTAGTGGGGGTCCCCCAATTCTCCTGCAACAGCTTTTGCTCAATGGGTACGACAGAACCGCTCGCAATCATGGCTTGCGAAATGTCATTTCCGAATGCAAGCAACACTCTTTACTGCCTCAACGTAGTGCTGCAGCCAGTATGGGATTGTACCTTATGTTTGTGCTATGTGTTTGTGTTAGAGTCGTGTGCTCCCTCCACGTTGCACATGCGCATCGTTGGCATGCACCAATCCAAGACCGCAATTTTGGGCTCCGCAAACTCGCAGTGCTTGCATTTGCTCGCATAGGCCATATTAAAACTCTACTGTATCACCAGCTTTCAACGCCAACGAAGTGTGCTGAGTGAGACGTGCAAGCAGGTAGGCGTTTCTTCAAACTTGAAGGTTGAAATTGGCAAGGCGACGGCGTGCAAAAATCAAAGAAACTAAATGTTCTAAAAAAATTGCTTATAATTAAAAAAACTAAATTTATTATTTATTTATTTTCATTTGTTTTTTTTAATTGCGGGGCATTTGGTTTGGAAGGATATTGGCAGCAACTTTGAAAGATTTGCCGATTGTCAAAAGTCACAACTTTGATAGTACCATATGCTTTACCCACAGTTAATGCAAGTTTACATGGATTTTTCAGATGACCTACAATTTATTAATTGATTTTAGACTATTATTTGGTAACTTGTTAATTAAAAATGCTGTAATTGGCACCAGTGATAATAATTTGCACGGTTTTGATTGTCATACTTTGTGCATTTGAAATTAGATCATAAGCAACAAATGATATTAGAGCTTGAAAAACTATGTATTAAAATATGTTAATTTTATTATTGTTATTATTATTATTACAAATTACGGCAATCTGGGACCCCAATAAACATTACGATCGCAGGTCTCATTTCGTTTTCTTTTTAGCTTATGAAAAACTCTGACATCATTATCAAGAGAGACAAACTGTCAAACACTGGATGTAATATTAAGTCCTATGCGCCACGCATTGCTTTAAAGAGGACACATACTTCAGCTGTCTGATTCAGATTTCGTCTTTGAACTTTTGTAGTGAGAGCAGCGTTTCTTAATTTATATATTTTGTGAACATATTGTAAAAATTGGATTGATTTTCTTATTCTTGTGCTAGGAATAATGTTAAAGCAATTAATCGTCTAAATACCCTAAGACCCATTAAAAGGTATTTGGGCAAAACCATTAAAAGGCCCGCTGTTCATTATTTCACATGGCAATTATCTGAGCAAGAAAAGGCAGCAAGAACGCACAACTATCAGCTCAGACTTTTTTCAACAAATACAGTATTCTATGCTGCATTAAAAGGACACTGAACTCTCGAAAATATTTTTAAGTGCATGGATCGGCACGTATGTCACAAAATAAAGTTTCCGCGAACAACTTTTTTAACTCGATACTTACGCTGTGAGACCCATCTTGCTTGAGTCATGAAAGAATCCAACATTAGCACCCATACCGAGAAATTAAATCCCAAAATCTAAAATGGAGGTTAGTTCCGGTTTCGTTCCAGAATTAAAACGTGCCTCCTGGCATAAATGTTACACTAAACACCGTTTTTGTTTCCAAGATAAATAGGTGACCTGCGCTCATAGCACCCTAGCTTCCTTGTATAAACCGAAGTAATTTGTGTCGCTCAGTGAAGCCAACACACTAGACAGGCTCAGATGCGCAGTTCAGTTTTACAGTGAAAGAAATACTAACATTTTTTCAAAAACCCGCTGCACATGGCATCGTTTGCCAGCATCGGAATGGTTGCCTAGCTCACCAAATCCTTGTCGGCTCTGAAAAGTGCAAACTCTGGCCTGGGATTATGCCCCATTTTTCTGGAGCAGTGTTCACCGAAGCTAGGGTTGACCGTGCACAGTATGGTCCGTTTGGAAGCCTAGGATTAGGTCTTGCTAATTTGTTCCTGGCTCTGCCATAGTTACAGGTTGCTTCCAGCAAACGAAATGAAGTTAGTAATCAAATCCACTTACCGTAAAATCCTGAGCAAGCTACGGGACGGGCACTTTCTAGGTCAACAATGCGTAAAGATATGACCTTTGTGTATTTTTTTTTTTTAATGTCACAAAATTGAGGGATGGGCACTCATTACGGAATGGGTAAGTGCCCAATATTTTACGGCAATAAAAAAAAAAAAGAAGCGTCGTTATTGAAACGTTACAGGAGCACGTGTTCATGAGACAAGTTTTCTTGAAACGTCGCAATGCCAGCGAAATGTGTGTGCACGAAAAGGTGTCCACGTAACGCGTTTCCACTTCTGAAGTCTGGTTCACGCACTTGCGACCGCTTGTAACCGTGTGCCTTAAAATCTTGTACGAGGGAACAAACAAGCGCCACCTGTTGGGTAGCCGTGGAGCACTGGGCATTTCGGTGCATTTCGTGTTCTTTTTATGTGCATCATTCTTTTTTTTTGGGGGGGGGGGTTCAGAAAACTTTTGACATTTTTACAAACAACCATATTTCTAATAGGTGATAAATACATTTGATCTCGCAAATAGTGCAAAACCTTCGCTCTAGCAAAATGCAGTTCCGGGGCCACCTCATAGATGGCGACAGCATGGTCTCGTAAGAGGTCGGAAGAACTTGGTCATAACCATACGGGAGTGTGTGAACGGGCCTTAGACACTCGCCATCTAATTGGTTTCACATTGGGTGGTTGTCCGTTTTTTCCTTTGTGTTGTTATTGTTATTAAAATTGTTATTAAAAAAAAGTACCATTTTAAAAACTTTTACGATCCAGAGTAGCTCCCAAGAAAATGTGATTGCTTAATTCAATCTCTAGCTATTCTAAAAATACAGCAAGTTTCAAGTCTCGAGCATTTGGATTTTAAGTATAGAAGCAACTTTAACCGCAATTTTCTTGGCTTCGCCTTTTTCATCAAGTGCGGTTACCTTGCAGTGCTTTCCTGAATGGATTTCAAAAAACTTGGTATGAATGTTATCTGCTATAACTGACATGGATCCTAAAGCTTTACTTTTGGCCCTATACTCAACAAATAAAAAGTAATTAGTTTCAACTTTAGGTTATTATTGTCCCATTTACTTTATTTTAAAAGCTGCGATTTATTAATAACACTCCTTTATAAATTCATTTAGCTTTGGGACGTATGTTAGACCTTTAGAAATTACTATATGTTATTAGAAGAAAAGATTTTCAGCAAGAAATTACCCTAAAGACACGTAAGAAATTACCTTATTAGGATTATATGTTCTGCCATATCTTTCGTCCGAGAAGAGATATTTGAAACTGATTGCAGATCCGAAATCAGCTTGAAGAGATACACATGTGTACATTATGTTAGTGAGATAAGTTAGTAAAAAAGAGAAAATATTTGAGAACTCTCATCCGCCCTTATACGACACTGACCCTGGCTTAAAGGGGCCCACCAACAATTTTTTGACCGGTTTGAAGTTCGCGCTGAAATGGAGCTCCATGAAAGCGGGAACACAGAGGGAAAAAAAATATTACAGGAATTCGCAATATTTTGTGAGTTATTAGAAAACGAAATATTGCAGAAAACAACTTTAAATAAGCAAAACATTGCGCTTCATGACGTAAAATGAAACAGTTTAGCGATTGGAGCAAAGCGGTTGGCCAATGGGAGCAAAGCGTCGGCCCGGGCGATTGGAGCAAAGCGTTGGCCCGGTCGGCTCGTCGGCCATTAGGCCTAGCTGCAACCATCGTATCTTTGGGATCGGGTTGCCATCATCGATGAATTTACCGGGCTTTTCGGATTTTGAGTGCGGAGCTGGGCGTCGCGCCGTACGAGGACACTCCACGCAAGCGCCGCGACGCGTCTCTGCCTAAGTCCGCTTTGACTGCCGCGGAAGACTCATATCTCCCGCAACTCCGCCACCGGAGCCACCTCAGCGAGTAGGAGCTACATACTGGTGTGCGGTCCCGTTGGGCAAAAGCTGGGTCCCGTCGCCGCCTTTCACTCGAACATTGAAAAGTCTGTCACAGCACTAAAAGAAAATAAGGGTTCCCCTGGCTCCTCTTACTGCTTTTAGTTGACCGGGACCGGGGGCGCACAAGTGAAAATACGATGCGCATTGTCTGCACGGATCACTTGTCGTCTGCTCGCGATGGTACGTCGCGGACGCCGCTGGGAGGCGCGCATGGGGGACAAGGCGTTGTTTTCGCCCTTTTTGAACTTTATTTTGCAACTTTGTTAGCTCTATGAAAATGACTTGTTAGAGAAATCATGACGGTTAACGTGTGATATACTTTATTTCGCTTCAAAATTCCTGGGACGGCTCGCGCCAATCACGAAACCCAGAGAATGTGACGTATAGTGAAAGGGAGCGCCGTTATGCGCGCGTATTCGGCACCTCGCGACGCCACCGTCGGAGGAGGTGTTTCCGAGTTGTCAAATTAAAATATGATGCGCTAATATTTTCAAACTCTTTCGTTGTCCACTGGGTTTCCGGGACCACTAGCGTGCAGAAAACGCAAAAAAAAGTCGACGCTCAAATACTGTTGGAGGGCCCCTTTAACGTTCTCATTTATATCAGTCAACAAGCTCCACAGAAGAGCAACGTTTGAAAACGGTGCTTCTCTTAGGTAGAATTAGGAGAGTGTGTTGGTTAAACATCTTGGTGTGCAAACTCAAAAGGAGACAAGGGACACAAACACGTCAGACACGGACTGTTTCAACGGGGAGGGGATGAGCGTGGCCATGAGCCATCAGGGGCACCATGAAAGTCACACCGGTAAAGAGAATAAACTTGTTGCAAGTTTAATGCTGTCCGTATCTGACATGTTTTTGTGTGTCCCTTGTCTCCTTTTGCGTTCGCACACCAAGAGGTTCTTCTCTGTTGCCTGCACACGAGCTGGTACGAGCAAGGGAGGAGGACCGTTTTCGAACACTCGTCTTTCGTAAACTTTTGCTCAAACATTACGTTTGCCATAAAAACCGAAACCGAATCATTTTTTATGAAAGCAGTCTGCATTCCATGTTTCACCAGCTCCGCCGCTTCTGTCCATAGGGTGGCCGACAACGTAGCCACCATGACCGAGCAGACGCGCAACGAAAAGGCGTCGGGTGTTCTGGGAAGCTCTACGACTGACCCTGATCTGGTAATGTCGCCCTGGCCTTGTCCCTTCGCAGATGGAGGAGAGCCACATGGGGGACGTGCTCGTCTGCCACGGCAAGCAACACAACGGGCGGGATTACCGCGAAGAGCGGCTCTTCCGCACCCGCAATGGGAGCATCAGCTTCTTCTTCCTGACGCGCGTGTGGAGCGACTACGTCCGCAGCATCCTGGCGAGGCTGGCCGACGACGTTCCAGACGTGGTGGCCATTAGCTCCTGCCTCTGGGACATCACGCGGTGGGTCAATCGATAAATGGATCTCCCGGTGTCACGTGGTGGGTCCTTTCGTGGGCCGAGGGTTCACACGTCACGAAAAAGGCTGATGCGCAGTGCGCAGGCCAGGGTTGCAGGCAGGGTATAAAAGTTACTTTTAAAATGTACCTAAGATACAGTTACAGCTACTCATATGAAAAGATACTTAGGTACATACCTAGGTACTCGCTTAAAAATGTACCTAGGTACAAGTACAGGTATAGTCTAGTAACCGGGAATTGTCAGGGAAATTTTAATTACCGGGAAAAATCAGGGAATTGTAAGGGATATTGTCAAAAGGCGAGCCCACTCAGGGAAGATGAGCCGGAAGCGCCATCGAGTGCCCTGAGCAAAGGCTTGAGAACTTGGGGACAGAAAAATAGGCAACAAATTCTGCTTAAAGCGGAGCACGGGCTCTGCTCACCCGCTGTAGAGTGTGCTACTCGATGCAAGGGGAACAGCCGACAAATCCACTACCAGCCTTGGATTGGACTGGATTTAAATTTAGTAACAAATGGAAAAGCCGCAGACCCAGAACCAATCAAAGCTGAAAGTATCCAAAAGTGTGCGTCTGACTGCCATGCTGCTGTTCAGTTATTGACGTGTGTGGTTGAGCGTTGTGTTTTCATTGTGTTTCCGAAAGCGGCCTCTTCAATGACGATGACGGCGGCAAGAAAGTTCTCGTTTCATCCAGACTGGACGAACCCAAATATTTCGGAATATGCAAGTTGCATTAAGCCCGTGCAAAATAATGCTCACAGTGCTCAATGCTCAATGCCTTCTGTTGTATTGGTCTTACATATTTAACCGCCTCTACTCTGGTCAGGGAATTTCACCCGGAATTGTCAGAGAAAACCTGAAAAAGTCGCGGAATTTCAAAATAATCATTTGCTAGACATCTTGAGTTACTTCAAATATACTTTCCTTATTTATTTTCCCCAAATTTCTCAAAATATATCGGAAGTAAAGCTTCTTATACTAAGGGTACACACAAAAACGAGTTTGACAAATGTGCTTTATTGGTGTCCATGCGAGAAATAAGGAAAACCGCATTCACATTAGTATTTCATTCTCTTTATCGGTTTCGGTTTGAGATGAAGAAAGCAGGTCACTATTTTCCGTAAACAGAGTTCCGAAGCGATTTAATTAATTGGTGTCGCTCGAACGGCATTGCTAATCCACCGTTCGCTCAAATGAACACCACCATTCGCTAAAGTGTCGTTCGATGAAACATCACTGGCGGGGCTTCATTCGCTAAAACGTCGTTCAATCAAGTCAGTGCCTCCCAGGTCGTACCCAACTCAACGTTAATGTACCCAACTCGACGTAACATGGTAGTGTGTTAATACTTCAAGATTTATAGTTTCTACCATTTTGACGAAGTGAATAAAAAAGTACCTGTAAAAAGTAACTTTACTTAGTTACAAGTTACTGAAAAGTGTATCTAAGATACAGATACCGAGAAATGAAAGTATATAGGTTTGTACCTCCCATACAAAAAAAGTATTGAGATACCGATTTCCAGTTACTTGTGCCTAGGTACTTTACAGCCCTGGTTGCAAGTGGTGGCAGAACACTGCAATTGCTAGCATGTCTGTTGTGGAAACATTTTTGAATTAAACTATAAGCTGGAGTGCACACGACACTACAAAAATGGAAACTGTCCAACCTGATTGTTATTATTATGACTACAATTCATTCAGTAAAAAGCACAAAGAAGGTAAAAGCCATATTTCAGCAATACATTTAAATGTAAGACCCATAGAGAATAAAGTTGATAACCTCAAAGTATTTTTGCATTCGTTGATGTGCAATTCAATGTTTTAGCACAGGGGTGACCAAGCTGCGGCTCATGAGCTGCATGCGCGTGTTAAGGTGCGGTTTGCGGCTCCTTCACCTATTCCCCCCCCCCCGCCACCCTCCCGGTCACACGAGCAGTTTCTCCAAAAGAGAAATGGATCGCGTTTTACATCGAAGGACAGGTAGCGGTTTGGTAGTCTTGTGCTACTGTTACCTTACGCACAGTGAGACTGCGTTTGACTCAGATAGATTGCAAGTACTTCGAGTTTTGTTTATTGCTCTGGACAAGTTTGCCCCACCCGTCCCTCTCTTGTGGCTCTTGGAAGTTTCGTGGTTTTGCGGCTCTTAGGCCAGGTCAGCCTGGCCACCCCTGTTCTAGCACTTCGGAAGCCTGACTGACAAAAAGGATATGCCGCCAATCATCCAGGGTTACAAGTGTGAAATCATGAGCAGAGATAAGAAAAGGGGTGGCGATATCACTATTCATATTAAAGATAAACTACAGCATGGGGTTGGAGATGACCTATCTAAAATGGATGCAAACATTGAAAGCTTGTGTGTTAAGGTATCAAATACTATTGTTCTTGCTTTATACAGGCCACCTTCGGGTAATATATATGAATTCATGACCTTTCTTAAGAATGCACTGCCTTTCCTTGGATCGCTATCTGTGCCATTCTTTATTCTCGGCGACATAAGTATAGACACCATTTCCAATGATTCTCACGTTCAAAATTTTCGCAATATTGTCAACCAGTATGCCTGCAGCAATTTGATAACGTTGCCAACTAGTATAACTGCGGACACTGCCACGTACCTTGACGTATGCATAACGAATACCGACACTCGTCATATTACAGCAGGTGCCATCATGTGTGATATTAGTAGCCATCTTGAAATCTTCTGTCTAGAGTCCTCCTCTGCTAGAGAAAATAACAAAGACATAGAAACAATTTAGCATCACACTATTAATGAGAAAAAATCTGAAAGAAATACTAATAGATAATAAACGTGTCACTGGTAAATAACTTGGCGATGAAATGAATAGACATTTTATTAGCATGGGTGTGTACACTGGCAGGGCTGCCAACATAGATGACTGTATTGACGCGGGAAGCCAAATTGGGTCGCTTATGCTTACTCCAACGGTACCATTTGAAATTGATAAAATAATCAGAAACCTAAAAAATGACGTCGCCGCTGGAATAGATTAATAAAAACCCTATCTATTAAGTACACCGTGACCATAGCTGGTCCAGTTTTATCGAATATAGTAAATAAGATGCTTCAGTCTAGTGATTTCCCTGACTAGCTAGAAATAGCCAGGGTTCCTCCGTGTATAAAGGAGGTGGTGAGACAAAGATTAATAACTACATCCCTATTTCATTTCTTCCAGTTTTTTCTAAAATATTTGAGTGTGTGATTGCTGATAGATTAACACAATTTTTTAAGAAGCATAATATAATAACGCAGTCCCAATACAGCTTTCGATAGCAAAATCGGCGGAGCTAGCGCTTCTTAACATAAAGGATAAAATAGTTGAAAATATGGAGAACAAATTATTTACTTTTAGTCTCTTCTTAAATTTAAGTAAAGCTTTTGATACTGTGCAGCAGAATATTTTACTTAGAAAGCTTGAAATTTACGGTGTGCGCAGAGTAGCTCTAAAAGTAATTGAAACATACATTGCAGATCATTACCAATATGTAGTAATAAACGGCAAATCATCCAATTGACTTAAAATACAGCATGGTGTTCCTCAGGTGTCAATTTTAGGTCCACTTTTTCTTATATATGTTAATAATATGACGACTATATCCGGTTTCCCCGATCTGATAATGTATGCAGACGATACCAACGTACCGTATGTATCCTTTTCTGGAGTGACGAAAAAATGCGTAGAAATTGTTTCAAATATCTACTTATGGAAGCTATCCAATTGGTTACACACAAATTGTTTAAAACTAAATACAAGCAAATTTAAGTGTATTATTTTTAAGCCAGTAAATAAACCTAACTGCAGCCCCATAAGCTTAAAATTTGAAGACACTGTGCTTGAGCAAGTGTCGGAACAAAAATTTGTCGGTGTACGGTTTACTGAGGGCCTTTCATGGAACACTCACGTGAATAAACTCAAAGGTGAATTATCTCGTGTTACGGGAAGTATATATAAGGTACAGAACTTGCTGCCCACCTGGCTCAAAGAGATGTTGCACTATTCTTTGTCGACTCTAAAATCAGTTACGGCATCTTAGTTTGGAGGACGACGATCTATTCAAACTACCATAGAATACCGCACATCCGCCCATCCACATTAAGCGCCCATTCCCAAATTTGTAAGATCTGTGGAAATATGCGCAGTACATTTATATCTAAAATTGATGACCGGACAAGCGCCCATCCCCCATTCTCTCGCGATTATTTCTAAATTTTGAGTGGACACTTGCCCAGTACTTTACGGTATGTCAAACTTGTCACCTTGCTGAAGAGGATTTTTTGCATGTGCGAAAATTATAAAGGAGATATCAGAAACATGAGAACCCAACCGCTATTCCTCAAATATATTATGCTTAACGCAGACCAAGTATGCTATTTAAGCTCTTACAATGGATCCACAAACACAAAATATACTCCATACCAAAAGCGAGTTTACTGTAAAATACCGGGCAAGCGCCCACTCAAAATTTAGAGATAATCGCAAAAAGATGGGGGATGGGCACTTGTCCAGTCATCAACTTTACTTATCAATGTACTGTGCATATTTTCTCAGTTCTTACAAATTTAGGTATGGGAGCTTATTGCGGCATGGGCGGATGCGCGGTATTCTACGGTAGGTTCTTACCAACTACGAGACCCAAAGCAAAGGGTGCCTTCAATAAGAACCAATTATGGCCGCCAAACTTTGTCATTTCAGATTACCGACATGCTAAACAGAACAGATATGACTATAGATTATAGTAAAACATTTTATGCCTTCAAGAAACAGTGCCGAAGCTTTCTCTTGAGCAGTGATATCAGCTTCTCAGTTGTGTAATATGTAGGCTAAGTTGTTATTTTTATTATGTACTTATACTTAACTACGAATGTGGCTCTTGACATATATTCAATCATTCTTCATTGCTAAACTAAATGGTGGCCATCAGTCCTATTTTATGTTGTGCTCTTTTTCTTTTTCCTTTTGAGTAAGGTGTTCTTTTTTTTCTTTTTTATGTCTATATTAGTGATATGATGCTTCTGTGTCATACAACGTTACATTTGTTATACGATTCGAATCATGCTTGTTGAATAAGATGTGATTTCGCTAGTTGTTTTATTGCGCCCTTTTATTTCGTTTTACATTTCACACTGTTGAACGTTGAACCAGCTGTTTCATTTGCCTTCTTTTTTATTTTTATTTTTACCGAGTGTGCCATGTTTTGCTGAATGTATTCATTGCACTGTTAACTGTTGAACTTTTGGGGGGCAGAGACTCTGTCAGGCTTCACGCCTTTATCTCTGTCCCCTGGGCAGAAAGACCCACCGAACAAAAAAAGAAAAAAAGATTTAGCACTGACAACGGTGGTCCAGAGAAAGAAAGAAAGCAACGAAGAAGCGCAGAAAAAAAGCAAGCCATAAGAGTTTAGCACAATTGTTTTGCCACAATGAGTGGACGTTGTTCGAGGGCTTGTCAACTTAATTTATTTTCACGCAATGCGCTATGCTGCTGTTTTTCTGCAAAGTAAGCTAGGGAAGAACTAGGCACAAACATTAGAGGTGACGTTTTCCTGTTTCTTCGTGTATATTAAGGCATCAACAGCTATATGGACCCGTCAGGACCTCCCACTGCGACCACCGATGTCCGCGTCTACGCCTTACCGTTTTTGAAGCAGCTGGAATGCATGGGACCTATTTCCTCTAGATTATATTGTTAACTATCGTGCCAGAGAACACTCGGCCGTACAACGTGTCCAAAAAATATTGTACAAGGTGTTCTTTTTCAGCGAATGACGTTTATTTTGCGGTGGAAAGACCTACAACATAAAGCTGTGACGTCGTACAATATGGCCCTACGTATGAAAAAATTTATAAGTAAACGGTGCATTACTGAATGCCGAGCCTTTAACGAACGAAAAGTAGTGCTAGCTGTCCAAACCAGCTGCCAAAGTTTCAGGACTAACCGTTATCTTATTCAAAACTTGTATGTGATTTCGAAGGATTTCAATAGAGAAATGGGTCCTTTTCTTGGTAATTGACGCCGTGGAGCTTTACGTATCCATCAACCCATTTTTCCATTGAAAATTTCTAAAAAATTGTGTGACGTTTAGTGTCCTACTCTGCTCGTGCATCAAAAGTGGTCCCTAAGTGTCAACAAACGACACCACAAAAGCCGCAGTGTCATGCCATCGGGTGTCGCAATCTTCGTGGTTAGGTGCGAAAGTTCCTAAAGAAAACTCGAGACACAAATGTCGCCGTCGTCGCGGTGTCCCAACTCTGGCTGCTAAAGTTTCTGCGGCATCACGCCGGCAAGACCATGACACTCTAACGACTTCAAAATGTAGAAATCGAGGAACTGCCTTTTTTCTTAACTTTCTTGTGGCTGCCAGAGCCAGCCCCAAGATGGCTGGCTCTGGCAATGGGAGCTCGAAGCACCGTTCAGGGGATGACGATAACGGTTCTGCTGCATATGTGCGAGCCTGGCTCCCCTCGCAGGTGGGGTCCCGACGGGGTGCAGCAGTACAAGGCGAACCTGGAGAGTCTATTTGGGGCCCTGCGAGAAGCCCTGCCACCTTCCTGCCTGCTCTTGTGGCTCACGGCACCGCCACTGTCCCAGGACGTGCGGGGAGGCTTCCTCATCCCACAGCTCGAGTTCCTCAAGTACTCGCTCCGGTTCCACGTCCTGGAGGCCAACCTCTTCTGTCGCGGGGTGAGTCGGACGCTGCACGGGACCCGTAACGTAGGGTTGCATAACTAAAAATTTAGGCGGGCCAAAATCAGTTTATTAAAAGCTGTGTGGGCTGCACCTAGTGTGATGTGTTGTGGATTTTGGCTGCAATCAGGCTTCCCATATCGTGTCATTGCATTCGTTGCCGTCTTCAGCACATCTCGCAAAGTCATGTACGTCATTGCAGATCAAAGGCAGTTTTTGTTGAGAGTCATCAGTGAGGTCAGCTCACAAACATACGTGCTCCCGAAAAGTGACAACAGTTTCAAGGTGTGGTCCTCTAGGTTTTTGTACATACTTATTCTTGTCCAGGTTTTTGTAGAACTCGTGCAGCTGAGCTTTGCTATGCAGTCTTCAGCGCTGGTGGGCACTGGAGGTCGATAAGCTACAGTGCCCACCAGGGGACTGGAGCTTATCGACCTCCAGTGCCCGGGGGTTCTCTGATCAAACGATGCAATTCCTAACTATTCCAACAAAATTCCGAGATCACCTAAGCACTTATGAGTTGTGAATGCAAAAGCATGAATGTCGTTCTTCTGCTTCCTTAGTTTGTCTGTGGCGTACTGCCGTGGGCGGCCACATTTCGCTAGTGCCGAGGTAGCGGCTTACGGCCGAGCGCGCACTCTCGTGATGTGGCCGCGACGCGCTGAGCTCGGCCGTGCAACCTCTCCGGAGTTTGCCCGTGTGGGCTCTGCGGCCAGCTGCTCTCACTTACGGGCGGCCGGGCTGCTGTGTGTGCTGGGCCGCCATGCAGAGGGTTCCTCCGGGGCCGTTCCTTGGAACTATGCCGTGCAAGAGCCAATGGGAGCCTCGTTCCTTGAAACTATGACGCACGCCAGCCAATGGGAGTCCATCCATGAGATTTCTGCTACAGACGACAGGCTTCGCTCCATTGGAACAGGGGAAAATGCTCTTTGGTGCGGCTTCAAGAGCTGATGTCGGTTTGCTCCATGGGACAGTTAATGCTTTCACGTTAAAAAAGGAGAGGATTGATAGCGTCCATGGTAAAAGAGGGAAGGGGATCTCTTCAGAGAGAGCAAAAAGTTTTTGCGTTCTGTGCACAGACATGTTGAGACAGAACCACACAATGGACAAGGACGGCTACACACACTGTTTTATTGTTCTCAGTGAGATTAGTGGAGAGGGAAAATTTGAACTGATAAATCGCAGTTTCTTTGCCGAAGACAGAAAAGTAGGTCAGAGGGTTTCGTTGCTGCTTGCCATCCGGGACGGAGCTCAATGAATTGAATGGCATAGTAAGCAACTTGCTATGCTGAGCCGGGCCGCGGGTTGATAGAAAAGTGCCCGCAGGCTGTATGAGCGTGTGGGCTGTATGTTCTGCACCCCTGCTGTAGCACGCAGCATTTTTACGACGTTATCAAGCAGAAATCGACTGCCCCCCCCTCCCCCAATCATGACCCAAATAATGGGTCATGCTTGGGGGGGCGAGGGGGGGGGGGGTGTAGTCTGCTGAGACATTGTTGCGCGCCTGGCCGAGCAAGGACAGCTCGGGCACGGACTTCTAGATTTTTGTTTATTCCGACTCGGGACGTAAATTTTATCATTTCGTCCTACTTTCTTGTTTTCGAAAGTGCCTGTTCATTCTCACCCCGAACGCTTGACACCCATACTTTCTGGGCCGAATTTTTGAGATGCCTACTCGCACTAGATGAGGGGCGGCGCGTGACCTTGTCAGGTCAGTCTCGCTCTCACTTGCTGTTACGCCGCCAAATCGGGCTGGAACGTTGCCCAGATCTATTTTGTTGACCCACTATCTGCTGCTATGTCACCAAAAACTGACCTTTTGGATAATGTTTCTTTTTTTCTTTCATTAAAAAAAAGCTTACCTTGAAAAATTTAAAGGGGAGTCGTCCCCCCCCTTCCCTTTTTCTTCTCAAATCTGCCCCTCCTTCGGGGCCACCTTTGACGCATGGGTGAAATAGGACGCTAAACACCCCAGTCGGAGACTCGTCCCAGGCACCATAGTCTTGCTAGTGCATTCCTTTCTTTTGGAGGGGGAACGGGGGGGGGGGGGGGGGGGATGGATGGACGCGTGCCTAGGGGGAGGGCAGTTTTATGGGGGAAGGGGTAACTGCCCTCTTTCCCTAGGCTCCCAAGTGCAGCTTTTATTAATGGTTACAACGACATACACCAGCTTTTCTCCTTTAGAAAATATTTTCCTTTTTTTTTGTGCATTGGCAAGTTTGTCAACTAGATGGATCACAGAAATGCTTTGCCTGTAACATCGCATCTGTCTGTGATGTCGAATCTCTGCACAAACCCCCTCGCCCCCAAGCCTGACCCAGTAATCCCCCCCCCCCCCCCCCCCCCCGGGGTCACATTCACCTCCTTCCTCTGGCAGTGGCAAGGTAGTCGAGGTCGTCTCAAACTGCGTTTCTATACTTCGTTTCAGCTTAGCTCCGAGCGCAGCCAAAGGCTGGGAGACGGTTCACCACTTGGAAAAGAGCGTTCATATGCATCACGAAGTAGACGTTCCAGGTTCTTCATAATATAGTAATGAATATGCTCCGACGAAAAATGCCTACCCGCTGGCAACACTGATGCGACTACACATTTGTTTTTATCCGGTTTTATCGTGTGACTTTGTGTTCTCAACAGTCGAGTCGTGGGCTTCAAATTCAACGCTTTCCTCGCCAAGTTGCTGGACTTCCTATGGTTTTTTGTTTTCCTAATTTCCACAACAACGTAAGATAAAAAGAAAGGCACATTTGGACATCAGGCATGAGATTGTGATGAATATGTACTCTACTTTGTCAGGAGTTTCAAACCACGTCGTACCGCAAAGTTGTTCAACAAATATCGTAGCTAACAAACGTTGGGAAATTGACAAAAAGTTGTTCCGCCAACGGCGGGAAACGCTCTCCAATGAAAAACTGGTCAAAATCGTGTGTCCAGGCGGCGGTCAGAGGCAAAGCCATGCAGTGTCGATGAAGCGCCGAGAAAATGTGTACTCCAGTTCGACGGGAGAGACGGAGTATGCTTTTGTTGCTGTTATGCGTTAAAGGAGAGAGCGTGCTGCTTTGTTTGAAATCAGGGACAAGGCGACAGTCTATTCAGAGCTCGCTCAATCCGCTTTTTCCGTAGGCTCCAGATGGCATTGTGGCAGAGGGAAAGACCCGTCTGGGCACCGAACAGTACCAACTTCCGTGTTTGAATTCTGGCCTTCCTCTGCCAGCACTGTCACGGCCCTCTGCGAAGCCCATCAGCCACCACATTGAAGCAAAGTTTTAATCCAGGACGCGAAGCAACATTTTTAGTTATGTAGCAGACGATGCCGTCGATACTCCCGCAGCAGACGAAACATCTTTCTTCGACACCTCTGTGCAGGTTCAGCGCAGAGTGACATACGAGGTGCAGGGGAAGTCGCGTCCTATCGCCAGCGTTTGATTGGCCCCGCTCGGAGCTAGGCTGAAACATAGTATAGGAATCCTGGGAGGGGGAAGAAGCTCTTGGAAGGGGGGGAGGGGGGGGTCTTTGAACACCCAAATTTCCTTGACCATCCCTGATGTTGAGTGAAATGTCGTCGACGTTTAAGCACTATTTAAGCAGACCTGAATAGTATGAGCCAAACACTCCCTGGTTCGCGCACTATCGTTCGTCTGGTCATTAGGCTCGTTTACTGCTTTATTGCGTCAACACCGAGGGCCGCCTTGGTGGCTCTGAGGTAACTCACCAGCCTGCAAGCCCTCGGGTGACCGGTTTGGATCCCGGCCAAGGGGCCCGCTCTTTGACGGAGGCTTATTGCGGGGGACGTGCCACCTGATTTCACCTCGAGTTGGGATGCAGTTGACGGTACAAGCTAATGGGGCCAATCAGACAGCATCAAAACCACACCATCATAGTGTTCGTTAGTTTCTGTGCATTGTATATCATAGCTGAACCAATCATAACCCGAAAATGCCTAGTGACTTGCACTTTTGACGCTGCTTGATTGGACCCAGTATCTCGTAGCATCGGCTGCGTCTGGACTCCAGTTGAAACAAAGTATGCCTAACCGAAGTTTCGATTGCACGTGAAAGGTCCCCAGGAGGTAGAAATGAACCTTTTTGTCGTTGTCTTGGCACGCAGAAAAGAAACCAAAATCCGACTTCGACTGCTAATCACTGATACCGATGGTATTTATTGCACTTAGTTCAGAGCACCGCTCGGTGCGCAGGTGAACAGGGAAAGGTGTTGCACCCACACACGAATGTCCCTGTCACCAACTGGGTGGTGCCTAGACATGTTTTGAAAAAAACATGCACATGGTTGCACATAAACCGTTTACACGCACATGCTCGCAGTAATAATGGGGGGTCTAGACATCCCTTGCCAGTTTTTCCATGGTGTGGAACCCGCGTCGAACGACCGTTCCACTCACGGCTGCTCCTCTGGCCACGCAGGTGGCAGACCGCTTCATGGTGGACACACTGGACCTGCACTTCCACCTGAGGCTGCTGCTGGACCTGCGGGCAGACGACGGCATCCACTGGCTGCCCATGGCTGTGCGCTTGTGCACCAACCTCTTGCTGGGCCACATCGCCCTCTCCTGGGGAAAGCCGCTGCCCAACAGGTCTGCACATTCGCCCCTTCTTGCGGGTTGGGCGCCTGGAACGAATCTCTGACCGGCGTGCTTATTGCGTCCACACAAGCAGTCCCTCAATTTCTGACGGCTTTTGTGACGTCATTTGTCGTGACTTCGGGACAAATTTCGATGCATGGGTGGAATAGGGGGCTAATTGCATTAGTCTGAGATGCGTTCCTGGCCCTGTACTGCGGGGGAGGCATTCTCTTTTCCGTCGCAAATCCTTCAACCATTGTGCCTTGCCCTTCACTCGATAAAGGTGGCGATGTGGGCAAGTCGGTTTGAGGCCGACGAAGGCAAGACGACGGGCAAAGAATAAAGGACTATACACGACAATTGCTGCCCTGCCTCTAGTACCTCTCCTGACTAAAGCCCCTCGATGCGATTGTCTTACGAGTGTGCGTCAAATGTTCCACCAAAGCATGAGACCCGTGCCATGGGAAGCCCTTGGAAGCAAATGGCGGTGGTGCATTTGCTCGAGGCACATGTCTCATGCGTTCCCACAACAATGGTTGGCGGTACTTGTAAAAAAATGCCAAGCATGAATTTTATAGAGTTGCTTTAGTCCTGTTTAGTTCTTTATTCTTTGCTTCCATTGTTTGCATGCTCTCTTGCCTTTTTTGCCTTCCACTCAAGTCATAGAGTTCATATGCCGTAAACTCCCATACAAAAGCCATCCCCTGAGAGATTGCCCGTACCACCTTGCCGATTAAACGTCCGTAGGTTAAAAATTCTGAAATGTCACCCACCCCCGATTTTGCCAGAGATGCGCAATGTGCAGTATCGGCATGTGTGATGCTAGAGTTCAGTATGTGTTTAGCGCACTGCGAAACACGTATCTCCTGCGTCCACGGTCTGTGGGTTCCTGTGACACGAAAATTTGTAGCGGGTTCCTGCGTGCTTATTGCACTATGGAACCCGGGTTTGCTGTGTCTGCGATCTGCAGTATCGGTTCCCGTGTAGTGCGGTTTATAGACCCATCTAGCGGCAGTCTCGAACGAAGCGATTTACAGCAACCGTCCCCAATTTTGAGAGTTTACGTTAGTGTTCTCCGACTGTGCTGGGCTTTGAATTTTCTCATCGGTAGGCTGTGGCAGCGTGCGTAGACGCAATTCCGGACGCTGGTGGCAGCTAAATGCTGCATTTTCTTTTTTCTTTTGTTTTCAAAGCGAATAGAATTTCTTGTTTTTAAGAAAGCATTGTACTATTTTTTGGGAACAAAACAAATGGCAGCTATTTTCGGTGTGTCTATGTGGGACGAAACAAATGCAACTGGGATGTTTGTTTCATTTTATGTTTATTTTTTTATGGCAGCAAACACTCATTCGTGTGAATCTGCAACTTAACTGTCGAAAACTATTTGACCACACGGAGAAGCCAAACTGTGCGGCTATTGCCCGCTCACAACAAGAAATTCTACGAGCCATGTCAGTCGAATAACATATATTCAGGGTTCGGAGTTTTCGGTTTAAACCGATAAAAGTACGCCGAATTCATTTTTGGAAATTCGGTTTTAACCGAAAGAGCTCAGTTTGTAAGTTCGGCGTTTTAGGTTTAAACCGATAAAAGTATGTCTAATCCGTTTTCTAAAATTCGGTTATAACCGAAAAAGGTTAGTTTCTTAGGGCCGCGTCGAGGTGGGTGGGAGAGGGGAAAGGGGAGAAAGGGCTTTGCAAGGATCGACATTGTGTGACATCTTCGTGATTGCCCTCTTCTAAGGTTCAACATGCAACAAAAGGGGTCGTGGATTGGCCTTCGCGGGACATCTGTGTCCTTTCTGTGATCGGGCTTAGTGTGTCAAGTTCCTGTTCCTAAAAAGAGTTTGGGTGTCATGCACTTCAGAAGACATCGAGGAAAGCCATTGATACCTTCTTATCACCCTCTCTCAAACTTCCCTGTGGTCAAAAACATTAATACAATAGATTTTGTTTTGCCATTTTACTGGTTTCTTTACGGTCATCACCTCAGACGGTCACGCCGTCAGAATGGGAAGCAAAAGGAAGCGTGCTGAAGATTATGCCCGCGAATTCCGCGATTTTGAGGTGTGTCCTGACAAAAGTTGCAGCGAAGACCATGTATATATATGTGCCGTTATTCTTTGAGTCATCTGATCCAGTGTCTGATGGTGTTTCTTTTATGTTCACCGAAAAAAACCGGTAAAATGTTTTGAGAATAAATATACACCGAAAAAAACTGAAAATCGAATTTTAAAATAAACACCGAAAAAAGTATGCCGAATTTTGAAAAAATAAAAACCGAAAACGCAGAACCCTACATATATTGTACGTACCCCACGGTGATGCATTATCCAAATGGGATTTGTGAAAGATCTCAAGTAACAGAGCATTTGCAATATCCAGTGTCGACGATAGTCATTTCACGACGATCGTACAAAATTTGGCTCGTTTTGGGGCACATTTTGGGAAAGCTGCTTTTTTACACCGCACCAAAGCAAATGAACGGAATGTGTCATTTCCGTCCATATACCCTGACCCGACCCTATCAGCTATTTTTCGCAAAGACCGGGAACACAGCCGGGAAGGCTTTTCAAAGATTATCTCAGTGGAAATGATCCTCGAAGAGTGTCAAATGGCCACAACCTTCAAACTTAAAAGTCTTTTGAGGCTCGCACTTATCACAACTACCGGGTCAACACTTTGGCTATGGGCCGCTGTTGTTTGAATGAGCAGACGACAGTTTAAATAAGCAGACGAGTTTGGAAGAGCAGACGACAGCTCGAGCGTTCGGACGGACGCTCAAATATGAAGACGCACCGAACGTGGTTTGCGGGTGGTCCGGACAACTCTACGATTTTCCCGTGTTCATGTTGGAAGAAAACAAATAAAGCGGAAGAATACAAGTGTCAGTAAATTCAACCCAAAGTGCTTCCCGCACAAGCAATCGTGGTCCAACCCTTTCTAGTTTTTCCTTTTCACTGCTGCTAGCCACGTTCCCAGACGAACCGAGCGGGCAGAAAACACACTAGAACTGATCTTCACGCTTTTCCCCGGCTCTTTTGGTACAGCCTCAGTAGAGGCGTTTTGACGAGAAGGCAGGTTTTAGTCTGGTTTCCTGCAAAACAGCACGGCAATGCCGGTCCTGCATGGCGGCTTCCACCCAGACTTCCAGGCCAGAAGTGTGCCCGAAGCACCACGAACATGGCATAACGTAACAGAGTTGAGTTGATGTATAGAATTAATCTAGAGGAAGAGGTCCACCACGTGGAGGCATTTCGTCTGCCTCGGAACAAGAGGTCACAGAGGCAGACACATGTGGTCCTGGGGGAGACTGCAACGAAAATTTCTCCAGAGATTTTAGTCACAGCTGTGCCCTCGTAACACCACACTTCGCCCACTCTTTGGGAGGATGCAGCTCACCTTTCGTGAGAGTGCGGAGTTCTGATTGTGCGAGGGGCCCTCGGTGTGATTTTCCGGTCTCCGCACAGGTGTGGATTCCTCAGCGAGCAGGAGCGCCGGGCAGCGGCCCCAGGGAACGTCCCCGACCCAGATCGCTCCCTGCCCGCAGACCTCTCCTTCGGCACAATCTTCGGGGACGACTCCAAGCTGCTGGGAGAGGTACACTGGTCACTGCTTAGTTTGCATCCATTGCCAGGTTGCACATCCTTAGCCAAGTTTCGCATCCATAGCCAATTTGCGCATCCACAGCAGCTTTGACAACTTTGCACACTATAACTATGAAACTAAGTGTGCTCCTGTCTAAGCTTCCACCTTAGTTTGAGAGAACAGAGCATCTTAAGTCTTGGGTACCGTGCACTTTTACTGCAAAATGCGTTGAAGCTCCGTTTGAGACCTTGTGTTTGACCTGTCGCCCTTTTCTTTCCCTAGTCTCAACAGCTTCCTCGTAATTATGTGTCTTAAGCTGGTTTTCAAGCTTGGAGCATCGGGACATGTTAACAAAAACCATGATACTGTAAAACCCTTAATGTTTACGAGCCCTTAATTTTTGTGAATTTTGCAAAATTCAAAGACACGCGAAAATTTTGGTTTTTAAGAGCTTCAATGCATGCGTCTGGAATTTGCATAATTTAGTGGCTGCAATTATGTCCTCTGCGACAGATTTGTGAACAATAGGTGCCGCGAAAATAAAGGGTTTTACAGTAACACTGGCAGTCGTCTCTACAAAAGAGTATGTCCCTCGGTGCAAATTAAAATTCTGACCTATCCGTCGGTAATCCAATACCCTATCTCCTGTGTTGGCAGAGCAGCTCTCGTTAGCACGATGGCATGGAGAGTGGTATATATGTACTCATGTTGCCGCTAAACCGTTGTCACCCTTAAGCCGCAGCAACACTGCTCATACATCATACAAAAGAGTCTGTAGGCACTGTCTTTTTTCCTTGTATGACAGTCCTACCACATCGGTCACACACAAACCGTCTGCAGACTACGTTCGAAGCGTACATACCGTATTTACTCGAGTAATAGCCGCACTGTTTATGAACAAGGCCGTTGCGTCTACTTCCCCGCAGAACGCAAGCACAGCCAGTTATCGCGTTGCGCATAAATAACATAGCGAGTAACTAGATCGAGAACACGATTCTTCATACAAATGCATTCTTCACAAATGGTATCTTCACACAAAGATGTTATCTCTGTCCTATAGACCGCCGGATCACGGTGATTGGCAATCCGCGTGCTCCGCGGAAAAGCGAACCTTCAGGTTTTCTTCATAAACAGTGTGGCTATTACTTGAGTAAGTACGAAAGGTATGAAGCAAGCATGCATCGAACTTGCTCGAGGCGTTTCCTTGAGATAGTTCCCTCATCGTTTCCGCGGCGAACGGCACGTCTTTTGTACGACATACATGTAGCACGACAGCGGCTTAAAACGCCGCACATTTAACGTCTCCGGACTTCAACCATGGGATTGGGACATGCTTGAAATTTTATTTAACGCCTTCTCAACTGCTGAGCACGACATCCGGCGCTCGCCGCCCGTCGGGCTCCCGGAGCACCGAGGGATCCAGCGTAGACACCACGCGTTGCAGCCACTGGCACCGACTTACTTGCCCACGGCGTCCGCACTGCGCAGATTGTGAAGAATGCCACGGAGCCGCCGCCCGCACAGAGGCGCCCCTACGCGGTCGCCAGGAGGCAGCTGCCGGGAGGCCGGCTGCACGGGCCTCCGCAAGATCCCGCCCTCGCAGGTACGACTCTCGTCTTCATCTCTCCGTACACCGCAGCACGGCGCCTGGAACAGGTCTCCAACGGGTGCGATTGGCGTCCTGCACCACATCATCTGCCGCCGAAGCGGCGGCAGACGACAAATGACCGCAACAAAAGAACGCGCCGCTCGGGGACGCGTTCCAGGCAGCGTAGCGGCGGTGTGTTCGGGAGCTCCGGAGCCTCCCAGAGACAAGGCGGGTGTTGCAGCGTCTGACGGGACGTCGTTTCAGCACACCGGGCTTTGGGCGGAACCCTCCTGCATGTCCCCGTGGGCACCCACTTCTGGCAGGACCCCCAGGTTGCCTGGAACGAGGCTGGGAGCCGTGCTTGGACTGCCCCTTTGCCCTTCTGGGGGGCCTTCTAGTCTGATCAATAAAGCTTCTCCCCCCGTTGGTTGCGAGGACATGACAGTGTCTGCTGAGCGGGCAAAACTAAAGCCCCTCGACGAAATTCGCTTCTCACACGTTTCTTCCGAGTACTGGCAGCCGTCATCTTGCAAACGGTTGCAACAAGTGAGTTGCAAGCGTTTGCGAGATGACGGTTATCATATGCTTCTGAGGGCCACTCTTTTCGGCGCTGTGCCGCCGTTTCCTTCAGAGGGCTACACGAGGCGCAGACTTCGTGCATTGGCGGATTCGGGGATTCTTTTCCCTGCGGGGGTTCGGTACATTCGCACGAACCGAACCCCCGCGAGTTCTGTTGAGGGGTTTTCGGCAGAACTAGTTCCTGTTCTTCGTTTTGTTGTCTCGGTGAGCGAATCGGGATCCAATACCCGCCAGTTAACACGAGCTCATTTCCTGTAGTGTAGGCCTCTATCCTAGCAGACTGATCGAGGAATGCGGAGCACGGTGAGTCCCGACCATCTTATCGTCACTCCGGTGCCCACAAGATTACTGCATTAGGCGACGCCCTGCGTTTGGTGTGCTGTCGGGAGAGAAGCATTATTCAGGCGGCACCGCCATGGATGGATGAACAAGACTGAACTTCTTGAAGTGGGCTGCAGTTCAGTCAGTTTTAGTAACAGTACGTGAGGCACTCTTGCCAGGTTGGTGGCGCCCTCTCAGTGTGGCCGGATAACACTGTCGTCTGCTAGCAAAGCTGCCACCTTGGTTCCGACTGGACGCTTTTGGGCATATGCGGAGCACCGTGCGTGCAGCCACATTGGTCCAGATATTGGTTATCACTCGTTTGAAGGGCACAGCGACTTTATGAACACGTGACCTCGTGCGTTCCCCCAAATATGCATTTGTTTTTCTATTTAAAGTGATGTTTTTGCCCGTATGTATCTAACAGAAATCTGTTGGCAAGTTTCGTCAGCTGCTGATGGTGTTTCAGTCTCGTAAATGGTCGTTTCGAAAACATGTTTGACGGCATAAGTACTTTATCACCTCGTGTAGTTTCTTTTGGTGTTCGGCCTTCATCTAAAAAAGGTTGGAGGGGGTGGTGATCGCTAAATGCTTTACGTGTGGAGAGCTCAAGTTGATTTTGGCTCCATTTATGTGTCAACATTGTTTGTTGTAACAGGTTTTAGATTTGCATTCATCTATATGAAAAAAAAAAAAAAAAAAAAAACTGGTAGTAATTCTGCATTTGACTATTGTTGAGTTGACCGTTTGACGAACCAACACACAATGCAGGTATACTTTTTTTTTTTTTTTTCGGTAGGCAAGTAGCTTTTTCATTTACCAGCTGGGCTGTTTTTGAAATGGCGTATGGCATTCACTAGGTGGACTAGTGTATTGGGATCTACAGGCTTTCAGTGAAAATTCCACCAATGTTTTAATTATCCCATCCAAATGCTGCATTAAAAAAAAATTCTTTTGTGACTGTTAGTGCGTGAAGAGAAAATGTGATGGTGTTCAGATCAAAATCGCAAAGGACTCATTTTGAGCAGTATATAGCGAAAGTATCTAACGGTCCATTTAATGACGGGCCAAACGTTGGAAGGTTCTACACAAGATGGTAAGACGCATGCCCAAGGGACTTGTCAAAATATGAGATGAAGCTTTTACGCACAGGTTTGCATTAGGTTAACATAGTGGAGGTGAATACACGATTTTAATAGAATGGGGTTTGTAGTCCATGTGAGCGGCTTTAATTGCTCTTTGTTATTATTTTTTTTTTTAGACGATGAGAAATGCGTTTTGAAATTCTGTACGGTAAAGCACCTGCTCGGTGCGCATGCCTTTTGTTTCAGTTTTTATTCATATGAAGGGAATAAAGTAAACACGAAGCGAAACCGGACTTCAGTCGACTAGGATATGGTCAGTAATGTCACGTGGTATCAGCAATACAAGTAGGAACCGGCAGTTATACGTTTACTTTGGTCTAAATGAAATGGTATGAGGATTGGTGACAGTGAAAGTTTGCTTTCTATGTGCCGGCCCCGATGTTTCCGGCTCGTTTTACAACAGAAGATCCGCATGGAATGGACAACTTGAAAGCTGCACTCGTACTCAATTGGCGAGCGTGCGCACGATATCAACAGTTCGAAATATGAACCTACCTGAGTAAAAAAATAAAAAAAAAAAAACTCATTTTTTAATAAAAAAAAAAAAACATTTTTTTTATTTTCACCTACAGAATTTTCGGGAGATCCATCCGTTTCGACGTCTCGGCATGTCTCGGGCGCACGCCTTTCGTCGGATGCAGAGCCGTATATGTAGAGAGTTTGGTCAATGGGAGGCGCGGGCAGAGCCAGGGCGTGCGGCAGACTCGGAAAGAGGGCTTGGCATGCTCTCTTGACCAACCAGAAGCCGAAAAGAATCCCCTAGCGGTGGTAGCGAGAAACAGTTCTGAGCCGATCGATCATCGAAGGTCTATGTTCGTATATGGTTTTAATAAGTGCATAAGAGATGTGTTTTGGCCGTGGTTGAAAACTCTTTGTGGTTGAAAATAGGGTGTACGTGTTGTTTCATCATGGTCATGCAGAAAGATGTAAGAAACGAATGCGCCGCTCAACTCTGTTTTGCGCGGACAGAGTGTGACCGCTCTGACGGCAGATTCCCGGCGCTCGGCGTTTGGCGTAAGGATTATGTCGATCTTTCCGCTAGTCGCACTCTTCCACCATCATTTTAGATGAGTGTGATTGAAACATCACGTGTACCATATTTTCAGCCATCAAGAGTTACTCCAATGCAGTTATCAGGTTTGTTTCTCGCGACCACCACCAGGGTATTATTTCCGGCTTCTGGTTGGTCACATTCGAATTTCTGAAGACGCCCTGGAACACGCCCAGCCCGCTTTCGGCCAATGGCGCCGCTTCATTTGTCTCCTATACTTCCCAACGAATGGCCAAACTCTCTACATATACGGCTCTGGTCGGATGTAGACTCAGTTGAGCGCAACACTCGACAGATGGCGGCAGCGTTCCCCTCGCTGCCTCGCCCGCCTTGCCCTAGAGTGCTTCAGCGCTGTTTCCGCGCACGCCGCGCACATTTCAAGACACGATGCCGTGTGTAACAACTATTTTTAGTTGTTAAATAAGATATCCCAATGGCTCAGCATATTTCACCCTCTGTTCATATTAATATTTCAACCGCTAATAAAAACAGCTTGTTTTGTTGTTTTGCTTTTCTTTTCTTTTTCTTTTTTTTTTTTTTTCTTTTTGTGAAATTAGTACATTGGTCAGCGAGTCTCCAAAGTTTTTTTGGCTAAGGGGCGAGATGGGAGGTATGTCGCTATATTTATGGCCGAAGATAAATTAGCAAATATAAATGAATAAAAGCTAAATAATTAAAAGAGTAAAATAAAAAAAAAGGATCAGCTGGATCTTGAATACAAATACTTTATTTCGAAAAAAAAAAAAAATCAGTATTTAGCTAAATATGCCATTACACATTAATTGGGACCCAGAAACCTCACCAAGCATATTCAGGCAGGGCAGAAGACAATACAATAGAACTATAAAGGCCTGTTCACACATGCAGCGGAGCGCTACAAGCATAGCGCTGACCTTGCGCTAAGCACGTGCCGACGGGAGCGTTCACCAGCTTTGTATCGCACCGTCGAAACTGTTGCTCATGGCAGACGATAAGTAGTTGACGGCACGTGAGCAGCGCTACATCAGCGCTTCGCTGCATGTGAGAACCGGCCTTAACGGTGACAAGAGCAATAGAGAGGACGGTGATGGAATTCTAACATGCGTAGTTGCCCAGATATGGAACAGGGAGCTAAGCATATTGATGTTGGTGATGGCGATGTCCAATGAATAATTAAAAAAACACGCCTTGCAATGGCCTCTTTTTTGCTTTTTGCTTTTTTTTAACGCGGTTGGTTGTACTATCGCGGACAATATGAGCTGAAACAGCGCTCCAGCCGGTGGACGGTACTACCTGCGCCGCCTGTCGCCTTGCTCCGCACACATGGCGCACCCTGAGTCCGAGATATTTTCTCACTTGCGCTCGCTGCGCCACTGCGCTCTTCCGGCTGTCTGCAAGCGAGAGGGTGGGTGCGACAGCGGGCATGTGTAGTAGGGCGGCGGGGGGAACAAAAGATTAACACTTGTCGTTCCCCTTTTGGTATTGATTTACTTTACTGTATCCCGTAAAATCCCGTAGAAAAAACGCTGACTGGTGAAGAAAAAATAGTGAAGTGTCTTAAATTTCAACCGCGATTACCGTTTTTGAAAGTCATATCCAAATACGCTGCAGGTTGTTTTTGTTTGATTATAGGTGCATTCACGAAAGGGGACATCGTAAAATACAGGCCAAAATCTGTATGCCGGATTTAGTCCGGCTCCAATGTATTTATTCTTTTTTTTTCTCTCTTTCACTGATCACATATGTTCAAGAAACGGTAAGCATACAAGTTACTGAGAAGGTTTTGTAACCTTGATTAGTATGAAGAGGTATAAAAGTATTATTTCTTCATTACTGGGCCCACGTGTTTGTTTCAAGCAAAACAAGTTGCTGACGAGACACCAGTTTTTTGTTTACGAATGTCTAGTCTTAATAAGGTGAGACAAACAGTCATATATTTGTCAAGAGAAGGAGATTGAAACTTAATCGAAAAAATATTTGCAGAGGACATTGTCAGACACAAAAGATCAATAGTCGGCGGTGGAAGTTCAACTGCACTATACAAGAAGATCGGGATGAAGGAGGCACCCCTCAAAAAGTATGCGTGGTTAACGGCATCAAACAGGGTGTCGCAACCGTAGCATCAAGCTTTGTTCCAATCGGCAGAAGTCCAGTTCAGGGGGTCCCGAGGCGCAGTAAAACTTGCAAAATAATTTAATACCGCGTCATTCTCCCTTGAATCCCGACCACGGCTCTCATTCTGTCTGGTAAGAAATCATAGAGCGCGGCCACGAAGTCTGGCTCAGCCCCGAAGCCACTCACATTCACCTCCCATTGCTTTCCACAATTTGTAGGCGCGAGGAGGGGACGCCGTGACATAGC